TTTTCACATCCATTTGGTGTATTTGCAGGTTTCTAATAGCTGCAATAGCAAGCACCAATCTAATGGATGTTATTCGCGTTACTGGCGAATATGTATCAAAGTAGTCTAGACCTTCCTTTTGTCTATATCCTTTGATCACAAGCCTTGCCTTGTATTTTTCAATACTGCCATCGGCTTTCAWCTTTTTCTTAAAGATCCAACGGTAACCAAGTGGCTTGCAACCTGCAGGTAGATCCACTAGTTCCCACGTGTGGTTTTGTAAGATAGAATCTATCTCACTCTTAATGGCTTCTTTCCATTAAGGCCCCTCAGAAGAAGTAACTGCCTCACGATAGGTGTTGGGTTCATTTTCCACTACATAGGTGAGAAAATCGGAACCAAATGTTTTTTCAACTCTAGCCCTTTTACTTCTTCTGGGTTCTGTCTCTTCTTCCTCATTTTGGTTTTGTTCATCCTCTCGAACAGCTTCCTTATCCATTGGAGATGAAGTTTCACCATCCATTGAGGACGGACCTTCACCCTCCTTGTTCAAACAAGGAAACACATTATCAAAGAATGTAGCATTCCTTGATTCCATTATTGTGTTGTTGTGTATCTCAGGATTCTTGGATTCATGCACAACAAATCGATAAGCACTACTATTTTGTGCATATCCAATGAATACACAATCCACTATTTTTGGACCCAGCTTTTGCACCTTAAGTGGTGGCACCATAACTTTGGCTAAGCACCCCCCACACTCGTAAGTACTTGTATGCAGGCTTCTTTCCTCTCCAAAGTTCATAGGGTGTTTCATCCTTTTCCTTGCGGGGTATCTTATTCAAAAGATAGTTAGTTGACAAAATAGCCTCCCTCCACATGTTCTGACTCACACCAGAACTAACCAACATAGTACTAACCATCTCTTTCAAGGTACGGTTCTTTCTCTCAGCAATACCATTTTGTTGAGGTGAATAGGGTGCCGTGAATTCATGACGAATTCCATTTTGACAACAAAATTCAGCAAAAGGCGAAACGTATTCACCTCCCCTATCACTTCTAACCACTTTGATCTTCTTATTGAGTTGATTTTCAACTTCAGATTTTTACAAGACGAACTTGTCTATTGCTTCATCTTTACTCTTGAGTAAATATATATAGCAATATTTCGTGCTATCATCGATGAATGTGATGAAATATTTGTTCCCACCTCTAGTAGGAATCGATTTTAAATCACACACATCGGTGCGAATTAAATCAAGAGGTTCGGTTTTTCTTTCAACCGTTTGGAAATATGTTCTAGTTAGTTTGGCTTCAACACATGTGGGGCATTTGTGATTTGAGTCAATGTCAAATTTTGGTATGTAATTTAAGTTAACTAAACGACGAATAGAATTATAATTTACATGTCCTAAATGACCATGCCAAATATCAGAAAACTCAAACATATAAGTAGAACTAGTACTTGCTCCATTCATCTTATTAGTGACCATTACAGACATTTTAAACATACCATTCAAGGCATAGCCTTTACCAACAAACATACCACTTTTGGACAAAACAAACTTGTCCGACTCAAACACAAGCTTAAAACCAAACTTATTCAACAACCAACCCGACACAAGGTTCTTATGCAGCTCCGGAACATACAAAACATCCTTCAGCTTCAACTCTTTCCTCGATGTCATTTTCAGAACAACATCTCCAACGCCCTTGATGTCTGCGGTGGCGGCATTCCCCATGAACAACTTTTGACCATTATCAACATCCTTGTAGGTGTTGAAGTTGCTTTTGTCATGACACACATGACGAGTAGCTCCGGTATCAACCCACCATTGTCTCGAATTCGTATCCAACAGATTCGCCTCCGAAACCATAGCCGTGAGATCCGTAATCATGGCCACCAAATCATCATCATCATTCATCATGTTCGCTTGACGGTTATCATCCCGTTTCGGTTGCTTGCACTAAGAAGCTTTGTGACCCTATTGGCCACAGTTATAGCACTTGAACATCTTCTTCTTGAAAGTTCTAGCTTTTGGCCCAAGGTTCTTAGCTTTTCCTTTCCCTTTGTCGGCTCCCTTGTTCTTGTTTTTGGAGGATTGACCAACTTCCACCACATTAGCTTTGGTAGAATCGGCACCATAACCATTCTTCAAAGCCACTAGATTGTCTTCTTCAATACGAAGACGCACCACAAGATCCTCCACTGACATCTCCTTTCGCTTATGCTTAAGGTAGTTCTTGAAGTCTATCCAAGCAGGAGGTAGCTTCTCAATCTTCGCTGCAACTTGGAATGTCTCACTAAGAACCATCCCTTCGGCAAGAACATCATGCACAATAACTTGAAGATCTTGAACTTGACTCATCACAGTTTT